AGTTACAAAAAATAATGGGAAATTATTTTTCTATTACTGGACTCCCTGGCCAATAATCCATGGGTTACAAACCTTTTTTATGAAAATTCTTTTGTTAATAAAATCTTAGCTTCATAAAATAACCAATTTAACAAGATGCCAATTTTATAATCCAAGTTGATTATGATAACGATAATGATGATTGATGATCAATACATATTTTCGTTTATGATAATGTGTTGTTTTACTGTGTTAATAACACGTTTTTTTCTATATAATCTCTAAAATGTACATAATAATTAGTGTACATTGAATTCACAAAACAAACAATAGTTCATTCTTGTAAGTTGTACTTGATGAAATTTCATTTCATATTATTTATTAATAATTCAAAGCAAAAAAGGCTTATTACATCTGAATTGTCAAAAAATGACAACTGTCAGAATTCCGTCGAATTAAAAATCGGACTTTAGGTGTATAACAATAAACAATAATAACAAGTATTATAGCCTGACCAGGAACATAAAAACCCTGGCATAGAGGCGCGTCAATCGCATTTGATAGTGCAACACTGAGTACAGTCGTACCTGTGTTAAATTAATAGGCTAACCATGGACNTTAAAAAAAAATCTCAAAAAAAATTTTGACCTCTTTGTTGTCGATAAAAATAGGTCTAGTTTCATCTATTTTCATATGTATACTTTAACGTGACTCACACTGTATATTGCTCATTGAACTTAGAAGGAATAACATAATATGTGCTTAATATTATTAAGGGTTGTACCCTAGCTAACCAGCGCCACCATATTTTTTCTTGATTACTTTTGTTAAAGACCGAAATTAAAAAAGTGGTTTGAAAAATGTATAATAATGTATCGAAGCTATTTTTTTTAATAATTTGTTTGAATTCATTAGATATTTGCAGCAAGTTACAGATTTATTTACTGCTAAAAGTTACCATTTTAGCTAATTTTGAATTTCGAACTTGCAGAATATAATAAATACACGGTTTTAAAAGTAGCTTAGATATGGCTTTAACTATTTACAAACAATTTTTTTATTTCGGTTTTTAACAAGAGAAATCACGAAAGATTATCTGTGGCGCAAGTTTAAGAGGGGTAGGTAAGCAAGCTCCTTAAATATTTTTGTTACTATTACTTTAAAAAATAGATTAAAAATGTACTCTTCGTGCTTTTTTCAGAGCAAAATCTTTTACACAATCGTCGATATCAAATTGTATCTCATTTTCAATTGCCAGTATAGCTAGATTTGTTAGTCTCAACGTAGACATAGTCGACCTTTTTTTTCTTGTTCATGCAATGTTTTTTTTCTTATCCGCCGCCCCCTTTCATATGCCGCCCGGGGCCATGGCCCCCCCTGCCCCCCCCAAGCTACGCCACTGCTTATAGAGTTTATATTTAAGTAGTATCTACGGTGGCAAGTAGGTCGAACATCATTGTACTGAAACGATGTTTTTACTTAGTTACCAACTTAGTTACTAATATCTTTTGACTTATTTTGTGCTACAAACATGAACGTAGCAATTAAACCTTTCCAGTATGAATAATTTCATAGTTCACGTAATTTTCCGTTGGGTTTCTTACATCATTCTCATTATGTTTTAGTACTCCAGTATTTTGCTAACGGCTGGCGTACTATTGTGCTGGCTACGCCCAATTCTGAAACAATAGGCGTTAGCTGTTTTGTGGTGGAAAAGTTCGTCATTCCTAATGTTACCAATTTATTCCCATTTATTGTTCTCGTAGAGAACATAACAAACTCACACGCTCAAGGTTGGGTACTTTGCCCCGTGAAATAAAGTGCTATTCATAGCTATGTAGCCGTTATATCTCGTGATAATAATGGAGAGGCTATAAAAATATCAAATACAGACCGGGGCGGGCTGGGCAGCGCCACTGTCACCGGGATATTAAAATATTGTGAAAGGCGTGCGTGACCCAGGTGCGCGATCGGGTGATAGGTATCGTTAAATATGACGTGCATTATGCTCGTATCACATGACTGGAGCACATACCAGACACCGTATTTGAGATGCTTTTATAAATACTTTTTAACAACTACTTTTGTCCTAGTATGTTTGAAAGATAACTTCGCGTGCTCATTAGTGTTCAATAAATTGACGTAAACGCCATTCAGCTGGTGTTCGAAAGTCTTTCGCCCATCTTAAGCTATGTACAACACGATATTTTGGTGCTCAAACGTTATTCAGTTTATTTAATTATTCAATTTGTTGTACTTTAATTCAGCTTTAGTGCTTAGTGCTCACACGTCATAGTGTTGTAGGTTGTAGGTTCTACAAGTAGATATGTGTAAGATACTATTTTATAATTGCTTCTGAGTATACCTAAGTCGTCCTTTGTCGGTTATCTTTTCAAATTACTCATAAGTTTATAAATAAAACTTAAAGCAATAGTAAGAATTTTGCTACTGTGTTATGAAATTCTCGTAATCATAATTTGAGGTCGTAAATTTAATTAAACAGATAATTCTCTATTTTAAGCCGATCATTAGCTAATTAATACCCAGAACATAGTGATGTTTTGCTGCAGTATTTCTATCTAAATAATTAGTTTAACACTGTTCGGTAGTCAATTTTCACGGTATTATTTATTGCAAAATTGGTACAGTATTTGGAAATGATGTGCGGTTCGGTATGTGATTATTGAAATTGTGATATCGACTCGTATCCGATATTTTGTGAGCCTGAATAAAGCCAAATGAATATATCTGTAGAGCTCGTTTACCAGACTGACCGCGAATTCATTACATTTTATTCCAAAAAATAGTCTTTCTATCAAAAGAGAAGCATTAAATTGTATAAAAACATTCAGATCAAGTTTATTCAGCGCATGTACAGGCGACCGCACATCAATAAAAAAATATAGAGTCTGATTATGCTGTTGACTGTACTAATTAAAACCTGTAATGAAATCTATTTAATTCTAAGCGTTTAGAAAATCAGAATGCCTGTTCATAGAGTGAAAATGTGTAAAGTTGGGGCGTACTCAGTGATATGCTAATGTGTGCGTTTGTAGCCTTGCTCGAATGACCGCTGTAATTATTCGGCCGCGGACGTCGTCTCATCATCGTCTATTAAAATTCATCCATACACGACCTTCCCCTCTATGAATAAAATTAACCATGAATTATAACTAAAAGCTCCACTAATATTTGATGCGTTATTTTAACGTTAATTAAAACCCTCGTTCGGAGAGGATTTTTCATGTAAAAGAATAAACTAAAATATTGTTTTGTGTCTCTGTTCATCGTATCGTATTCTTGTAGTGTAAGTACGTGGTCTACGTACGAATTATGCTAAAAACGGTGCTAGAGCGCCTTTTAAAAATATTTTTTATTTTATTTTACGAATAATAAAAATCGTATTTGCTTCTTAAGGCAGCTTTAGCTCCAACTTATTTAAAAACCCTTTTGTACCGCGAAATAATAGCTAAAATAGTTAATTATAAGTAATTCAACATCAATAAAAATTCTACGAAAGCGGGCAACTGGAAAGGTTTCAGTGTTTAAAAGGAATACAGAGGGCAAAGACATTCGATGGGGCCCTTCTTTGAAATTTGAATTTAAGCGGCACATTACTCTGGAAATGACTGGCTATAAAGACTTCAAACGCAGGCTAATCGTGGCTTCCGACCTTTTGGCCACCAAAGAAACCGTTAGTAAGTACCTGCAAAACGTTCTTTGCGTTATTGGACAACCTTATTTTAAATATCCGCACTAAGGGATCAAGGGTGTGACCCTTTTTACGTACATGTGTTTTTAATATGTAGGTCACTCGTCCGTCAATCGATTTATTGACTTAAATTCGTTTCAGGGCAATTAGTAACACTCAAAATAAAACTACTTACTTAGTTTATTTAGGTAACGCCAATAAATTAAAAACCCATTAAATGCCTCATTGCTGAACCAATATTTACAAGGCGGTTAAAGTTGCAATCAAGGTTGCTTGCTTGTTTCGGTCGAAGTCAGGAAAGTGCGCGGCGTATAGGCAATTTGGTGGTGTGTATTAAGATTTACTTATACATCAGTACAACAATGTGCCTGTTCATTCACTAAACGTATAAGAAAAACAATATAAAAATGTAGGCTTCGTATTTCCAGCTGTACGTTGATTTTCTTTGTCTCTTATTTCCTTTAAGAGTTAGTTCCCTTTGAGCACGCGCGACATAGGACATAGTGCGCCTTCCTCCGCTGCATTTATCAATACAAGTGGAACTTAGCAAACAAGCTATGGGAGGCACATAAACCTGTTACAGCGTTCTCAGCGCTCCCAGGGCAATGTTTCATTGTGCGAAACGCTATAAAAATCGTCGTAAAAATTTATAAAGCTACTCAATAAAATGTACACTTGGAATTTTGTGAGCTTTAATATTTCTAGAGGTTAGCGGAGGAGATGCTCGCTTGAAAATAAAATAATATCGTATGGAATGCAAAGTTTTTAGTTCTGAATATTCAGTAAGATTATTTTCTAGAGTTCCGTATATAACTCAAAACAATATAAGATCATTGGATCTATTTATGAACTTTTTTCACGATGGGTTGATGCGTTTTCGAAAATTCCAACCTCTAAATTAAAATGTAAAGCCATCTGTGCCACGTACAAGGAATTCGTTTGTAAATTGAAACCTATGAATAAAAATTTGGGAAGACAAGATTTTATAGATTTTATTGACATTATTTACTTACCAAAGTGACCGACATAGCTCGCAGAATTGCTAAAACCAAGTGGCAGTGGGCGGGGCACATAGCTCGTAGAGACGATGGCCGTTGGGGCAGAAAAGTTCTCGAGTGGCGACCACGGGCTGGAAGACGTAGCGTGGGCAGGCCTCCTACTAGGTGGACCGACGATCTGGTAAAGGTCGCGGGAAGAGCCTGGATGCGGGCAGCGCAGGACCGTGCATTGTGGAAAACCTTGTAGGAGGCCTTTGTCCAGCAGTGGACGTCATTTGGCTGAAACGAACGAACGAACGATTTACTTACAGATGGAGAGTGGACGAATGACTGCAAGCAGAGAAAATGAGTGTGCGGAATCACTGGCAGCGTGAATCCGACTCGCACTTGGCGGGAGCTTTATCAGCATGCAGTAAGTATTTCCATTTTTATTAAAATTCGTATCATCGGTTCCGATGTATGTCATGTATGTATGTTTGCAATGTTTCAGTAAAAACATGCATTGAAGTTGATGTTTGTGATGTAGTAAATTATACGTGGGTACTTAACAAAGTGGGTGTCTAAATATATGATACAGATTCCAACTTAAGATTAAACCATGTGAATTATTTGGCCAATCGCCTTTGGTTTCATAGCATTCCGAATGCTAATCTTCATGAGTGATGACTTCATTAAACCTTTTGTATTCCGCGGGGGAATCAGGTCACACATTCGTTATGGGTGATAACGCGTTAAATACCCCCCGCGTGTGTGCTTTAGCGGCTGCGACTTTTTACCCGTCTCTACCTCTTCATATACACATTCATCAATCTCCACTTTAGCGCCGACTACTTTTTACTTCGGCGTCAATTAGTGCTCATGCCAGATACTATAGTGTTGATGTGGTTTTTTCTTGGAAGCCAACGTGTTTTGATAGGGCTGTGATGGTTTAAACGTTATCAAACATTTCGCTAGGTATTTTTGTGCAATGAAATTAATAATTGCAGTCATTAATTTATGATATAGATTGAGTTATAGATCAAATAGCTAGTAATAATTCATACTAGATAATGACATTTGAAAAAAATATATACGAGAAAAAATATCATAATTTTTTGTTCTTTACAATTATTTTTAGTTTTATCATATTCTTTTTTTACAAGGATTTATATAATCACAATGATTTCAAATTAATTTTAAAATATCTTAACTGAAAACTAACTTTTTTTTAAATAATATGAGATGCTTATGAAGAACTAACGTTTCTTAAAAAAAAAAGAGATATCATTAAAATACTGCCAAATTATTGTTTGCCAATCTAGCGTCAGACGAAAGCGCTAATCGCGAACCCTGAACGCACTGTCCTAGTTAGCGCTTCCGATGTCGTACTGTCTACGCGCCGCTGCGGTCGCGCACTTGTTCACTACTCGGGCCAGTTTTAGTGTCTGTCGCGATGTAGGTCAATGATCGTCGCTCAATCGACGTGTCGGTGTACCCACACCTTGCCTAATGCCACTTATTCTGTTTACTCTTCCAATTGACTAGAAGGGGAGGAATTGAAGGTTACCTCGAAAACTAACTTTTACAATGCAGAAACGAAATTTTATTATTTACTTAATTAATTAAGAGGAACTTGGAATTATATAGGTAGTGCTAGTAGAGCCCAACAAGGCCTATAAACATTTTTAGGAGCGGCCGTAGACTTAATTAAATTGTTTACTCGTCAGGGTGGATTACGTCTGAAAGTTTTAAAAATAATCCAAGCGAATAAGGGATTAAGTTTCAAAGCCCGTCCATTAGTTGGGCCGAGCTAGCTGGGAGGTCTGCGAGTCGTGCAATTGTACAAACACTGTAAAGGTAAAAAAATGCGTAACGAACTCGAGAGATTAACCGTGGGAGTTAACTTTTCCGGGTACATTATCCGGGGGCTCAGGGACAGCGACACGGTGCATTTACTTTATGCTAATAAGACTGCTTAGCCGTGGAGCAGTCAGCAGTTTGCAGGAGCGGATAGCGGGTGCACCTTATCGCAAGGAGCTGGAGGGACCGCGCGCGGAGGGCGGGCGGCAGTGTTGGGCGCCCAGTCGGCGCGGACGAACGCCGCCTCGACCGCTCCGCCCGGCTCTACGCTCGCGCCAATTAATTCAATTAAGTGTCACATAAACTGAGAGCTCACGTGGAAATTACTGTAAAAGTTTCGTGTAACAGGAATGTCACCGGTTGAATCGGTCGCGGAACACTGAACTGGTATGACCGCTTTCGCGTAAAAGTTTTGCCGTTTCGTAGCGGCTACGACTTTTCGTAGCGATGCTTGACAAAGTACTTTGTTTGTTTGATTTCATAACAACAATTTCTAGTTTGACGTTATTTTGAATGCTTATAAATAATAGCATCTCATTGTCATGCGAAACTACTTGATGTTACTAGCATTCAAAAGTTTTATTTACTTGTTCTTGTTTTTGTGTTCATGTTCTTTCAGGATGCTAGAAATATGTATGCTTCTTTATTTTTACGCTTCCTTTTTTCTCCAATAAATGAAACTCTACATTTCTTTAATAAACGTGTTTTTAAAAGTAAGGCAATGAAGCTACTTATTTGAAATTTAATGAATTTCTAGCAAATTGGCATGCCGTAGCTACCACCTGTGCTCAAACAAAAACAAACGAAACATATCTTAATTAGGCACTCGGGCGGTGTTTATGCAAATAAACGTTGTAACGAATGGTTTTCTATTTATAATCACGTGTGAATTTTTTGCAATGTGGCCCGAGCGTGCATGCAGCGGAGACATTAAGATTGGTTACGCTTTTCCATTCGGCTTTCCCCGTGGAAATTGCGTCTTGTCATGAAAGGTGCCCACTCTGAACCTTTTGAGGTTATTAGGTTATCATAACCGCACTTTCTCCACTAAAACATTTTGTTTTAGCGTACTTTATTAGTCCCAAAGTAAATACGCAACGAAAGGTTCGGGCCTAATAGCTTTTTGTTTGTAGCGATTTTCTCGGGGAAAGTATGAATGTTTTATCATGCTGTCCCTTAGATCTCACCTGACATTGACGTCATTTGCATATTAGATCAGATATTTTGCTAATGGATCTCATTGAAAGCAGATTAAGTTGACAGTCCGTAAAGTTATCGAGCAGAATTTATATTTTTATCTTGATATATTGGTCAATTAGATATTGACCTCGATGATATTAATTGGTTCTTTGAATGGTTCGTCTCTTCTAAGGGAAGTAATTTGGTTTATTTATAGGTACTGAAAAGTAGATCATTATTTGATGAGTAAGGGTTTACTGCCTGCACTTACTTCTCATCCTGCGCACCTGCGTCTGCGCATGACCTTCGCTAGACGGGCAGCATCAGTCGAAACACAATTTAAAAAGTTTTACCCCTATTTTAAATCTATAAAAGGTCATAATCGTAAGCCGTAGGTGTAGGTATTTTATCCGATTCAACGTTTGGGATGATACACATTTTGACAACCCAGGACAGACTATCCTGGCGCCTCAAATAATGAGAGCCGACCCCAAATAATGGAAAAAGGGCTAGGGAAAAGAAGAAGAACGTCTGGGACGATAATTTCTCAAAAAACAATAAAAGAATTAGTTATGAAGTGGCACGTTTACTAGATTTTTTATTTTATTTTCATTGCGTAAACGCAGTAGTCGGGAACGAGACTGCGCACATAGGCTCGTTAAACCGTTGGATTGGCAGTATCACTAAAAAAATCAATAAAAAAGTTTTACTCCGTTTTTGAACCTATTTGGGCCTTAGTCGTAAACCGTAGGTGTACTATACACGTGAGCTATTCACTTGATTATAACATATATTTGAGACGCATATGTTAATCTTACCTTCAACTGCCCTCAAAGTCTCCTCTGCTCATGTCTAGAGAACACATTAGGGTTTGCAATCCCGCAATGTGGGATCCCGAACATTTCAGACACGGGATGGAAATCATGTGGGATTTGCAAGTCCTAGGTTAGTACCTACACAGTATACCCTTCGTATACGTATATTACGTCTTCAACATTTTGTATCGAAGAACTATTCCTTTAGGATCTCGAGCTATCTACATACATCAAACTCCAATATCTGTTGTCGGGTCTGTCAATCCGTATTTATATTTATCCGTAATAAATCACAATCCATAGCTTCGAACATATGTTAGTGTCAATCACACAGTAACGCACGAATATCAATCATTTTTCATTTATGCATATCGATCATCGTTAAGTTGTACATAATAATTTATTCATTCATAAGTGCCGTACACAATTAGTTACATACTTACCTACCTATGTACTTACGTTCATCAACCATTGCAGATTAGTGCTTTAGTGTTAAAGTTTGCATTGTTATTAGTGTTTGGATTTATTAATGAGTTTCAAAAAATGTTATCTTCTTGTTTTCTATTTAAGTTCTTCTTTAAATTACTTTACACAGCATGTTTTTATACATCTGCCTTTGTACACAGCAAAACGTGTTTTTCTTTTACTCACACGCCAATGCAATATCTGTAAAAACAAACAACAAATTGTCGAAAAATAATTTTGCTTCATTTTATACAATCGGATTACACGGCTCACGCAAAACTCAGCGGAATCGAGGATTCGAATTTCCTTTAGCGAGTTAATATTTCCTAATGCTTATCTAATTGGCAATTTAATATCTTTATAAATCGTCGCTCGCGTCGACAGGTTCTTTATTTCTCCGCCCGCGGGAACACCTGCAAGCCCTCGTCATCAATCGTACGAAATAATATCAAAATATTGAGGCATCCATCCCCGTCTGGCGGGCACTTTGTCAAGATACGCCGATAACGCCGCAACATTCACCCACACAGTGAATTGGACAAAAACCTTTTAATAGATAGACTACGGAAATGTCGAATTCCAAAAATGAAAAGAAAAGGTTGTTAAAGAATGCGTAGGATTATCATTAGGCTTTGAGTGTTTTATTTGTATCTTACTGATGCAGTAAAAGTCTTTTCATTCTATAAAATACTAATTAATATTTGTACATACGTAGGTATTTGTTATATTTACTTGACAAACGACTACTTCCTAAAATGGGCCTAATTAAAAAATGCTTATTTTTTTTCAGTAAGGCCTCTTTGCTTTGCACCGCATTAGTGACCACATATTGTGGCCAAGATTTTTTATTCTGGTCTACTAAAATAGTGCGGTACCTATAGTAGGCCTTTGAGCCGCAGCGCTGCAGCGTCCGAACCACAATTGCTACTTGTGGCGCTTGGTGCCAAGACTTAAGTCTCCTGCGATCGCGATTAGTGACCAAGTGTGCAGCGGCGTTCATTTCCTTCACTAGTAGGAAATGGCTTTAGAATATGCTTGCCTAGGGATGGAGCCACATGTCGTCATATTCAAATTCTTTACTTATTTATGCATGTTCCAAATATATCTTGCCCTACCACCATTTCAGCTGGTGATGAGAAGTGGCGGGGAAACTCAATCACATGGGTAGGTATACATATATATGGGTTTTATCAATGCATGATCTTCAGTTATTAATCTACAACCCCTATAGTAATTTTGTGTACCTATAGGCCAGCATCTACCTCAGTTAGTTAGGTACTTAAGTGTCTCTAATTAAGATCTGAGGTGCAATTATTGTGTAAAGCAATCGTATTCATTTGACAGTTCAAAGCGTACGCTATATTCTGTCAAACGCTTTGCTATCGTACGTTTTAAACTGTCAAATGAATACGATTTCTTTACACAATTGCACCTCAGGTATTAACTCGGTAGAGTCGAAAAAAATAATTAAATAAAGTTTTATCTCCTTTGGTTCATCATTCCATTAATAAGCATTGGTTTGTTGAGAGATTTGTATGTGTGTGTCCAAACTTCGTAACACCATTTAATTTCGAGTGATAGACTGTAAGTCCGAAACTTACTTCACTTAAGCTTCAGAGATGCTGAGGCGCTCAACATACTTGTCCGAAGTTACTGTAAGGTCCAAATCTCAACTATTCCCACTATAGTTTGGTTATTAAATTAATTGTGTTACACGGTTATTAAAGGGCATGTAATTTGTTTGTTTATGCTTGCATTACGAGTAAATGAATAAAATGTTTATGGTTAGCAGTTAGCTAATTATATGAGGTTCTTTGCTAAATAGCCATGTTTGATAAATCGTTTATAGAGTGGAAAATGTATCTGGCGCGACTAGTTACGCAGTTAGTAAAAAATCTACTTTTAGTCGTTTTGAAATGAATAAACAGTCAATGGAGTTGACAAAATCAATATGGAAGTTTTGACAGCTTATAAAATACTTCAATGGCTGGTGTGGTACTGTCAACAATCAGACTATTGATTATAACGAGTTAAAATAGACCTAGAGTTAAACCATATTACCTACTTAGGACAAGAAAATGATATTATCGAGGCTGAATCCTAACAACTTTTTAGTTGTAAAGTTTGACCCAGCAACTACTGAATATTAAGTTTCTTTCAGCTTCAAGAATTTTCCATCCAAGTGTAATTTCCTATTCAGTTTCAGTTTCAGTAAATGCTCAAATATATGATTTAAAGTGGGTAAACTAAATATCTCGGATAAGCTTATTTTAAATTTGATTTGAAACAAAATACTTTTCAAGCATTATCAGGTTAAAAAGATACAGGTGCCTAACACCTGAGTCTTGATTACTAATAAGTTAGTACAATACTCAAAAATTCTAAATAAGTTACGGAGTATTTTTGATAATAACTGTGTTAGTAGGAAAGATGACGTATGCTGAAAATGGTCATTTTGCATCCTCATCGGCCGGCAGACTACGGCAAAGCTGCCATGTCACGTCCGTGATAGAACTTGTGCATCGTTTCATAGTTTCTATCGGCCCCAGTTTGATTGATAAGGGTGAAGGCGCCGGCGGGTTGTGTGGTCACGTACCGCCTCCACGACGCGCCTGATTCCCGAATACATCCACTCGAATCCTGTTCAAACATTCCTTAACATCTGCCTCAAAACATCACCGAATAGGCGAATGGGCCGGAATAAAGTAGTAAACATTTTCTCTTGCGCTGAGCTGTCATTTTGTTTGCGGTGAAACGAATACACAGCGATGACGTCACACCTGTTTGCCAGTACTTGCCAGCAGAATATGCTTGTGTTTCCGCTTTGCAAGCTATTTGTGTAACTTCTATCGCGCTTGCTACAAAATTCTGTGCAGCGGAATCTCGCCTCCGGAGGTTTAAAGAGTCGCTATGCTGTATTTAAAACTAAATTACGATGTCGTAACTGCAGAATGTCTAACGAATGAAAAAATATAGCACTCTGATAAAAAGTTTATTCCCGTGAGGTATAAAATGATAAGTTTTAATAGATTTTACTTTTTTACTTTATTTGTAAAGTAAACACATTGTAGTTTTATGAAGGCTATTCGTTTATAATCTAACTTTTAAGCCACTTTTCAATCTGAATACTAATGGTGCGGCTATCCAAGATTTTCTTGTAAGTAGGAGCAATGTACGACCGGACGTACAATTATAATTCGACGTAGATATTCTGTATGATAGAAAAGTAAATTGACGACTGAATTCAACCTATTGATTTCGAAACTTTGGAGATACTAGGCTGTTAATTAACATAAGTATCCAATCTAATTGTTGTAAAACTAAGTGGACTATTAATTTCTATGTTACAGGTTAATTAATTTGAAAAAAACAAAAACTATTTGTCTGTTTTTAAGACGTGCGACAAATCTAGATAGGTAAAATGATTTGGCTATAGTGCCACAATAGTGCACACATAAAACGAAAGTGGTTCACATTCTCTGAACGTTCCCGCACGTGGCCATATTGTACAGCTGCCATGTGTTTCTATTGCCTGGACATAAAACTGTAAATTGTATAACAAGGTATAAACTTGAATGTCACTGCGTTTCTATTTCCTTAGAATAATGTTAGGTGCATTTGTGTCTTAAAAACATTGAAACTTTGCGCTGTTATAAAAAAAGTATAAGCAGGTCTTCATTTAACAGACGATATCTTTCACTAGAGAAAAAATATCGAAAGTTCCAGTAAAACATTTTAATGGACAATTATTAGGATAGATTTATCCAATTTAATCGACGTCGATCTTTTCTTCGTTCGAAAAGATAAGATAGTATTTTTCTTCAATTCTAAAGATAACGATGGCGACATTACATCAAGACAATTTGAGCACCAAACTTTTAAATATTGCTTAGCGTCAGTTGGAAAAAGTTACTTTATCTGAACAAAACGCTCGAACCGAGAATCTGTCGTGGGAGCACGTCTATTGTTGTCGAGTTAAAAAAATTCCAAAAGGTTCAACTGATCAAAGAAAGACAAAGCGTGAAACCTTTTCAGTGGCTCCATTCCGCTTTATTATCAAAAAGTTTCATTAGGGAAAAGTTGACGGATGCTTGCCGCTTTATCGTCCAATTCATTTGTGTGGAAGCGGCGCAAACCGCGGCAAATAATGGAAACGCGGGAGTTCAGCGCGTGTTGTGCTCGCCACCAGATTATTGTGCACTAAGTTTGTCTTGCTTCTCGTTACGCTCTAACAGAACGCGGGCGGCGAACTTTGATACTTGCACTGATACTGTAACCAGATTAAGCTGCTTTGCAAAAAATACTACAGTACACTAGCTGTATCGTTTGTCATCTCGAGTGCACCTCGTAGATTATCGGCCGACAGCGCAACGCATCGAATGGGTTTATTGTGTGTGTTATAGGTATTGTCCGAACGTTCAATCTGGGAACTATATCATACGTCGCATTGCCATCGTAGTTCGAGGCTCCATACCAAATAATAACCGATACAATCTATTATTCATGTAAATTACAAATGTAATTCTAGAGGTATGATAATAATAACTAATGTCATTAATTATGACTACAATTAAATTGTTATTAAGTCTAAAATGACAATCCAAATTGAAACGGGCACGCACAATAGATCTACTGTCTTGTCATAATTGTATTTACGAAAAGCATTAGTCCTGACCTGAGTATCTTAATACCGGAACGCCATAGCAATTCGTACTTCTGTTTATTAATTCACTACGCAACGGCAGGACAATACGGCTTTATTAAGAAAGGGTGGAATGGGATACGGTACAAGAGTATTGTAACAATAAAGTGAAACAGTAAAAAATAATTTAGCGTCTCGGTATTACACTGAGTCATAATGTGTCTACACGCTTCAGCTTATGCTACATTTCCCAAAATGTGCGTAATGCGGACATATTTCTTTTATGTAAATAAACTGCTGAATGAAAACAAAGATAGAAAGCAAGAGCTCAGGAGCTGATAGTAGTAATAGCGTTTAGCTGACTCAAGGGCTGGAAGAAGTAACTTAATATACCTAATACGTAATATTTCTTGGAGATTTGTATTACTCTATACTCTTAACCTCTTTTCTATTTTATTTATATTAGTTTCTGAACAGGTAGAACCATGTCAATATTTTTTATACATTTTCAAATTATATTTACTGAATGTATCACTTGTTCATTAAAACTAACGTTCAACGTGTGGGTGGGTAATCAGGTTAATATGTAGGTACTCCATACCTACCTATCCGATATAGATATTTTTGTAAGGAGTGAATATGTACGATATGCTTCTATTTACATGCTGTGACTCACTCACAGAAGCATTAAGGGTTGTTAAAGAAAAAAAATGCATTAGAAAACTGTAACACATTGAGTAATTTATCTAATTGCAATTTCCAGCAGTCTGCTGTTGCTGTATGCCAGTATATGTATTGGTATTTATTTAAAAGTAATAATATTTACGACGTAAATAAATTTACAATCTGCGGGTTACGCCCGCCGTATTGAATGTACCGCCTTTATTATGCAAGCATCACGTGTGAACGTGATGACGTATTTTTTCTGCGTTATTTTACCGGTTCCGCATAAAAAAGTAGGACATTTAAATTCCACGCAGATCACTGTATTCAACTTTTGAAACAACTCAAATTTATGATTCGTTATCTCGTTGAAAAAACTTTTTGAACCTGTTACGAACTTGTCGAATGTAAAAATAAGTCATGTTTGAGATAGGATTTGTGTTTCAACTTATTTATTCATAAAAATAGATTTATGAATTCTGCGTCATTCTTAATTCTTTTATTTTGCAAAAGCACGAATTTATAGCGTTGTTGTGAATATAAAAACTCTATGTTTGAAATGTAGGTACTTGTTCATATTCAGACATGAAAGAGATTAATGTCAAAGTTTTAATTAAAATAATAGGTCTGTTGGATTAGGATTCACGAGGCAAATTATGAATCCATTTGCTGTTTTTTGTCAAAGTACCCTTGTTTATAAATCGTTCTAATTTTGTAAGAAAACGTGTTTTTAAATAATGTTTGTTTTTAAATTGTTTCAGGAAATCGGTGTTGTGGTGCGGTCGTTCGAACCGAGTGACATTTGCGTGACGGTGCCGAGGCACAATCATGACAATCATAGTCAATCGTAAATAATGAATAGTCAATAGGCCTAGTGTGTTCGTTCACGAAAAATGTCTGGCATTTCTCTCCAAAGAATTTAGTAAAGTGTTTCATTAGTCTTTAATTAACTGTAATATCTGACTGTGTAGTTTCCTGTGAGTTATAAGAGGATTCGGCATCGACGTTTCTTAAATGGAGGTAAGTTTGGGTTATTGCAGTTAAATAAATATCCTTTGTTGTCAATTATTGTAAAACTGTGTGATGTTTATTCCCTTATTGTGAGTAAGTCACTACTTTTTACCATCGATTGGAGTTGGCGCCACTGCAATACTGGCGAGTACCTATAAGGTCATCACTGCTTGTGGCGTCAATTGGTGAGTGAAGATAAAGTAACCCTCAATATTAGTTACATGTGTAAATTATTTCCCTATTCCTTTGATTTCACACATTATTTTTTGCACACACCACTAAATAAAAATAAGTATATGTAGGTACATAAACATGTACCTACCTACCTAAGTTATTTCAAAAGGGTCGCTTAGCTTCAAGGTTTTGATTTTTATCTCGGAAATTGATTCGAGATATCACTTCCAACTCGCATTTAGGTACCCCTCATTGATATTCGCGAAATTGACTTATTTTTAAAGTCAATTTTATTTACAGTAGGTAGTCGTAGCAGTAAGTAGTTCAGAGAATTTATGTAATATTTTATGTTAGACTTAAATATAACTTCTTAATAGTTTAAAGTTGGTTAAGGACAACAAATCGGTTTACTTTGCATTGTTAATTTTTCAGTAGGTATAGTTGTTTTGAAAGGGCCTCATTCAACTGTAGCTCAAAGTAAATTGGTGCACGTTTGTATGGAATAGTTGAGTGGGTGCAAGTGGCGAAGGCTTTATTCACTGTCCCGACACGCGGTACTGCTCGCTGCAAAATATAAATTGCGCCCGCTTGAAATTACCTCTACGTTTTATGACACAAACGAGAAAAAACTTATGCACTATCCCGCCTCTTTTTTCTCTGGCATTTTATATAATGCCTTTTATCTTTTACGGACAATTAACTTGTTACGTAATCAGTCACCATAATAACTAATTTCAATGTTCATTTGTCGATCGACAGTTTGATTAAGAAGCAATAACAGTAGGGCTGAGTTGCACCACCTTATTTTAACTGTAACAATAACATTAACCGGTGCTTTTTGTATGGAGTTTGACAGATTATTGACGTTTGTCAAAGTTAAAGTAAGATGGTGCAACCCAGCCTAAGTGATTTATTTTGAACAGAATCGTCTATCCCGCAGCCCTTTAATGTTTTTGTCCCCTAATTATATCAGCGCCATTACCGACCGGTTAGATTTGATGAGGCATTTTAAATTGTTTACTTACTAATAAATGTGAAAGCAAGCTTAACTTTGTTGGAATCATTTTAAATTTGTACTCTGAAATAATGAGAAACTGAAAAGGTCATTTGGGTTTCGAAGAAATCACTCGGGCAATTTAGATTGATCCGAAATATTTGAAGAGTTATTTAAGCGACAAAAGCGAGGTTTGACAGATCAAGCAGAATATTGGGCTAAGCCGATAGCTTCAACCCAAGAATAATTAAATACTGGATAGTAGCTACGCTACGGAAAATAGGTATTCAATTTGCATGAAATTGAAACAACAAGAAGATACAAAAGTTATGAAGTCAAGAAACGTAAATCTAAAAGCCTAAAATAATCTGAAGTGAACAAGAATGAGTGAGTGAAATTCAAAAATAAGGCTTGACCGTAGTTTAGCATAACGTCCGTCCACGTATGAGATTAGGCGGAGGTAAAAAATCGCGATCGTGCATGTTGTGTAGCGAAGAAGGCACGGTTCACTATCTGCCTTTTACACGAGGGGACTCCATCACAAAACTCATTTGGCATTCAGCCACCTACAATGGTTCGTGTGAATGCGAGCCAGTTTAAAATACCAGCTTTTTCAGCGAACAATTCAGAAGTTGCCACGTCCGAGCTCAAGTAAGACGGCCAGTAAATAAAAGCAATCAGAAACTGTAGTCAAGGTGTGCTAACATTTTGCTCTGATCTCGCCGTTGGTGAGTCTCAACTCTCGGAGTTGTAAAAGGAAAACTTGAAACTTGACACGGAATGTGTATGGAATATGGAAGTTGTAATTACTCGTATTGAATGTTTTGCTGGCGGCAATCAATTTTCAGTGCTATTTGTGTTGGAAAATATGAAAAAAGAAGCCTTTGAATTTAAATGAAATACATCGAATGAGATAAAATAAATGATTGGGATAAATATTTCGGTTGGATGGTCCGTGCGCGAATGGTTCGTTAGTTCGGGAGTGTCGGGCTCGGTGCATCCGGCCGACGGAAAAACTGGCGACGGCAAATACAAATCACGCTTCCTCTACGCGCTCGCCGCCCGCCCTACGACAGTTGCGAGCTGAGCAAATGACACTAGGCCTGTGTGATGACCTGTGAATCTTGCTTTGAGTGTTTTATTATTCTTCTTCACACAACCCTAGCGTTAGACTTAATGATTAAATCAGTTCGACGGCTCGAAATAAGTTTATTAATTTAAGTACTGACATGTGTAGCCTTGGAGTTAGATAACTGGCTCCAAGGCGGCACGGAATTGAATGACAGATATCGGTTTGTATCATGTTGAATTACTTAGTAAAATATTTACCTGAAATATTTTCAATCGAGGGTAACCTCTAACTATCACTGTTCAAGGTCAAAGATAGTCTCTCCTTTGTGTGGTCACGTACAAAGGTAAAACTTAGGTAATATTAGAACGTACCTTATTGTTAGGTATTATTTGCAAGTACGACATTTTCAGAAAGTTACATTTAAAAGAAATAAATAATCTGACAGTACTTTTTTCGCATCTTTGTGCTCCGTGAAATTGTAACACCTTATTCTTTCTTTATGTTCAGTGATTCTTTTCCAAAATTGTAACTAATAATGAAATCGCTGCTATTACCAGCTTAGTTAAATTTTTTATTCAAGTTGTTTTCTCCCAGTTCCAAATCTCATTTGCTGCTCCACTACACTAGAGCATTATTTATTTATAAGTACAAATCGTGTTCTTTTCAGGGATAAACTGCTGAATCGAGAATGAGGTTATTTCCAGTGTGAAACACAAAGGTCTCAACTTTCATTTCTCTTGTTAATATGATCAGATTGTACCTTTCACCAAAATGTTTTTATCGTAGTAAATCTGACATCCGAGATGGTCTCTCAATAGAATGTTCTCCGAATAACTTGAAAGAATGAGGAAGTGGTTTTTGTTGACTTTTGCCACAAAAGGGCCGAGATATGACTCGTGGTAGAGACGTTGTTATGATTACTCTCTGGACTCTTAGAAGATTATGTGCCTGAAACAGCTTTGAGTTATTTTCAATAAACAACTTGGAATTTAGTACCGCAACTATTTTTAAATTGTAGCAATATAGTAAAGTAAGTAAGTATTATAAGAATTTTCATGTTTAGACAACTATTTTTAAGTTATTGCAGCAATGTTGTATCAGCGACCCACGCGCTTGTAACTAGTAGCTACCAGTATCAGTCAAGCTTATTTTGTTTGACATAGAATAAAGAAATTGAATAAAAGGCGCTGGTAGCTCTAGATAGTTATTTTCCAATAGTGTCTGTTCGCATACAATAGTAAGTTTTAATACTAGATTGAGTTGAGAACCTAATGCCCCAAAATCCAAGCGTAGCTGTTGTAATATTTGCAGGAGAATAGACGTTATTATTCATAGCATGCGCTTATTGTGTGAATCGAACGGATCTAGTTCTGGACGGTGGTTGTTTGTTTAAGTACCGGACTCACTTGACCTCTGAGCAGTTCGCCTCTCGAGTCCGTAGTAGAAAACTCACGAGGACCACATTAGGGAAACTAGCCGCCTTCACGATAAATGCGAGGGAACGGTCACATAGCAAACACTTGATGCCGAGATTTATTTTTCCGGGTGCTGTGAATACAGGCCGGGTAGAAAATTAGAAGAGTAAAAATATATAGCGGTAAGAATGATGATGAAAAGCTAAAAATAAATGAAAAAATGTTTTTATTGAGCTTCAGTACACTAGGCCTAAAAATAGACATCACTCATGTCAAGTTATGAGACAAGGGTGCTTGACAAGATAAACAATTTCCAAACTCATGAAACACTTTTTGCGTCATCCATAATTTCTATTTTAAGCTGATGAACCATAAAATGTTTTTATTTATCCAATTTGAATATCTATCGGTTTGATTGAAAAACAAATAAGGCGTGTGCGTGAGTTTTCATTATGGTTTCTAAATGGAAAAACTGTGTACGGTTTGTGTCATCGCATATTCATGGGGCATTTTCGTGAGTCGACCTCTCAAGATCTGCGCACTGACTAAGTAAACAACGTCTAATGGAGGGATTTCAGGAGGTTACGTGACGTTTATAAACATTCCTTCCTCGGGAATTTATTAATTTATTACTGAAGGCGGAGCGACTGATATATTAAAAAAAGTTCATTATTTCGTCCTCGTTGTTTTTTTGGTTGTCACTGTGCGAAGCGTAACGGAAGTACAGTCGACAGCACCAGATTATTTTGGTTGCAAAATCATACCTATTCCAACTACATAAGCCTCAATATTTAGCTTGATATGACGTCGGTTGTACGTTCAAAACAGGAGTTAGCTTTTACTCGTACGTATTAAATTCCATGGAAACATTTTGGACGTTGCTTAGTGTTTATCAAAATTCTCTTTATTGTAGCTACAACTGATTAGAATTGCAAACAGTTTGAAACGTGGAAAGGCGGTCGTAACTTATTTTAAATGCATACGAATACAAAAGCATGTACTTTGGATTGATATTTATACGAAAGTGACCCATTTGTCTATTATTTAATTATGTAAATCTACTCCATGAATTTTTATTAAATCCTACAATACCTAGATAGAGCGACTTTAAAATGAGGACTATTATAGACTCAGCAGCTTTTTCCAGAAAAAACTTATTGGAAGATTTATAGAATAGGAGGAACAGAACGTCCCGTTATTATACAAAAATCACAATTTATTACCTACTGAGTTTCATACTCTAGGTACTGAATGCATGCACAGATGAATGAACGTATTTATTTACCACAAAATATCTTTAAAATTAAATGGCATTGAATGAACAGTTGAATAGTTCGATCCGATGTTCA